GCTAATGAATTTGATGCAGTCGTTTTTTTCGAAAGATCTTATGTATCCGTCCATAAAACAATTGCTTGACAACTTCCCTGAGTAAGATTTTGTCGCGTTAATTGTTCATTTTTGTTGAGTAATTTCGGATTTTATTCTGGTTTCAATGAGAAGCAACTAAAAGTATGTTCAGTACATTTTCATTTACTTCAATTTCAGCAACATGTTGTTCGGTAGGAATAATAAAAGATAATATTGATTCGCAGCGTGTATGATGCAAAGTTTTGATGAGGTTTTGTTGAGAATTTCATTTGTTGATAGTGCAAATTTCTTTGAGATGTCTTATCTATAGGGATGTGTAGGCATTAAAATGTTGGTTGGAAATCGCATGTTAAAGAAAACTTCTTTCTCATTGCTAAGGTTATGGTGATCGTTGTTGTTTTAGATATTTGGAGAAGCATCCAGAGTTGGAGCCAGAGAAACGTCAAAAGTACGAGAGTCAAATAGATGTGTTGAAGCGGATTTGTGCAGAATACGAACGAGATGATCAAGGCACGACAGAGAATGCGGCCACTGAACTGACGAAAGATCGTTTCGAGACAATCAGCACACTGATGGTTGAGTTGCAATCGTACGGATATCCACCTGAAGAGTTGGTTGGAATCACACCACCAGGATGGTCAGTAGACCCGACATCTGGTCTGCCAGCTATCGACGACGTCCATAAAGCATCTGAATCGTGTAACGTTATGTGATAAAGTGATTCGATGGCTCATATAGGTGTATATATGCGTCTGTGTTCATTTTTCATTGCATTTTGGTGAGTTTTTTTGGGAAATTGTTTCTGAGTTATTCAGTTGATATTTGGTGGTTTGCGTGTAGATTGCATTGGTGGTTCGTTGAGTTATTTTATATTTGTTCATGTTGCATTCATTCAATCTTTATTGAATGAGTAGACGTTGATAATTTTGGTTGATAATTTTAGTTGTAGGCAGTTAATTCAACAACAGTCTAAGATTGATTAATAGCATAGGAGAAGATCGAGTTGTTTTAGTATATTTTAGGAAATGTAATCCTTTCGTGAGCGTAATCAGACCTTAAATTGATAATAAGCAATAAATGAAAAGTGAACAAATAAGAGATATACAGTTGAGATTTCAGAGCGAACAGATTCGGTGTCTACTCGTCGTGAATCAAGCAGATGCTTACAGTTATATATCAGCAGCCTAAAATTAATAGTCATATGAAAGTGGTTCATAGCGCAGCGATTGCTCGGATCGTATAAATTCTTATTCGTAATCAGCCGAAAGACACGTATCTGTTGGATTCGACAATCGACTCTATCGGTTATATTTCTTGTTGTTATTTTCAGAGAGCTATCAGCATAGGTGTATGTTTGCGAAATTCATTTCGAGTGCAAGTTGAGCTGATATTTTTTTCTCGTTTTTGTAATAACATACGTATGTATTTGCCTTGAAAATAACTTATTCACTTTTATTGTTACGCTTTGTTAGATTAAGGATGTGTGAATGTGAATTAGGAATGTTTTTGAAGTGGAGAATATATCGTGATTTTATGATTATTCGGTGAACAGATTTGATTTGTGATAGACGACGGCGTGATAGTTTTGAATGTTTTGTGTGATTGGCGAGAAGAGATCTGTTCATTTGTTTGTGAAAGATGTCATCGGATTCTGTTAATTAAGAGACAATCATATGATTAGAATGAGTTCTGGAAAATTATTTTC